AAACCAGGCTGGCCTCGAACTCACAGAGATCTGCCTGGCTCTGCCTCCCCAGTGCTGGGATTAAAGGCGTGCGCCACCACCGCCCGGCTCAATGTTGTCATTTTCATACCCACTTAGATATTTTTTAAACTCTTTAGTGACTTGAATTTTACTATTTTATTTCCAACTTATGGGATACCTTTTAATATTAGATTATGGCATCCAATTACTTTTCAGGGAAACTGAACCTGTATTTATACCTTGTAGATACTCCAGCAGCTGGTTGACACAAATGAGACAGCCATACAATCTCATCAGCTATGGGATTAAATTTGAAGATCATGTTACATAAAATTTAGGTCACTTCTTTACCCATCATAGTTTATAACATTGTATTGAAGCATTTAGGGGGAAAATGACTTTTTAAAAGGGAATTGAGTGCAACCTCTTATTAAAATCAGGATTCTCTTCACTAGTATCCTTGAATGGCCTGGAATAAAAATTCCCAGTGGCAGTCTTATTAAGGGGGAAGCCCTGGGAGAAGTGTTGGCTAATATTTCTAAGAAACATTGGTAACTATGAGAAAATGATATGGCTCATGACAGAAGTTTATATAAAGCAAACATGGAAATATATATGGAGCAACAGAGGCTCATGAAATAAAACAGAAAATATATGTGCTTGTTCATAATGCACTAAAATCACACAATAGTACACTATCACAGACAACAAATGAATGAAATCAAAATAGCAACAAAACTTTGCCCAGGCAATGTCTACTAACTACTTAGAAAATATATATGAATGAAAGTGCCAAAGAACATATTTAGTTAAAAAACAAAAATATGGCATTTATTACCCTTATAGCATTATTAAATAATTAAACTTCAACAATCAGTAACTCACACAGAAAAAACAATGATTATGTAAAACTACACATCAAGTTTCTATATCAGAGCAACTTTACTATGAGTAATTAAGAAAATTTTCTAGAAGGTGTTTCTTCAAAAATTCAAGAAGATACAGATACATTTGGATGCCTAGCTTTACCATTTCAGTTTTCTTTTCCCCTTATCTTAAAATAGGAACAGTTATTATTCAGTGATTTTTTTCCCTCATATTTCAATATGAGTATACATTCTTATTGAAAAGAGAGAAATCAGATTGTCCTAAGTTAGGAAGCCACAGTGCTGGATAAACAAGGTTATAACCCTAACAAAGTATTAGGTATGTTTGTTGGCTAGCATTATCCTTTAAGATGTAAGAACTTTTCCTTTATTCCAGAATGAAAGAGAATGAAGAAGCCACTGTGACAAACTAGGTCCTGCTTCCCAAGAGTGGTGAGGCAGGACAACATGGCATGGGTTGCAACATTCTTTCTTGATATCCAGGTTTGAGCTAGAATCCAAACTTGTATATGAAGGAAAAGCCTCGGTATATGAATGAATGAATTTTGAATATCTGACATTGTGTGAAACATTTGCACAGTGTAGTCTAATAGGCAAAGATAGAGCTTTTAAATAATGAAAAACCTAGAATTTAGCGGAAACATAACTTTTTACAGTTTTATTGTTTAAATATCATCTCTCTGCGTCCATGCTTAGTGGAAAGTAATAATTGACAACTATTACCCCCCACCCAACACTGGTGATATTCTTTTGAAGGATTTTCATACTGAATACCTGTTAGGTTTGTAATGATAAAATAAGTCTCTGTTAGTGTCCTTGGGTCCTCATGCAATACAAATAGATGAATCAGACATTTATGCTGATACACTTCATCACTCAAATAGCACATCAGGTGAACCCATGCCAATGCACATAGCTTGTGTCCAGCTAAATACTTTCTTCTTTTGATGAGGTTTCTTGTTGTAGAGTTGATTGTCCTAGAGTATCTAAGATTTCTGCCTCCACCTTGAAAACAGAGGACATTTTTCTTTGATGCCCAGTCACTGGTGGATTGTCTTTTGGGCAGGAAATTTCTTTGGATAATTTAGGTTAAACACATATTTTCAAAGTAAATTATCGTGGCTAGTAAAACAATATATTAGTTGATTCATTGGATCATTTCAGACCCTTTAGAGATAGTTTCTCATAAAGCATAAGGATTTCAAGTGAGAAAGAGCTGATTCAACTATCTTAAGCAAAATTAATCTAATATTGTTTATAAAACCAAAATGCAAAATGAAGTACCAAAGAAAGAAAAATCTGTAAAACACAGTCTGAAAGACAAATGAACCAGAAAAGTTTTAAATTCAAACTTTTTAGCACTAGATATTTTCATTCTTCCTGATTTTTGTTTGTTTGTTTTGTCTGTGTCAGAGAATCTGGTGTATTAGAAATGACTCAATAAATACACTTACCTTGCATAAAATCCATTGGCAAAATTAGCTAAGATGCTATCTATGTCTTAATTTTTCCCAAAAAAATTAATTGCCAAAATGAAAGGGCCTGTTTTTGCTTCCCAACCTTCCATCATGGTTGGTTACTTCTTGAGACTCTAGTGTGAGCTAAGAAGTAATAGGTTTTAAAAATTTGTTGGATATGGTTCCTACAAAGCACTTAGTATCTGTAGTAACATTTGAAGGATGAATGAGGGTCATTCATGCAGATAGTGGGATATAGTCTTCAAAGAAGAAATAATATCAGTTTTTAACACAATGATAAATACAACAGTGAGAACTGCTTAAACTGAACATGAAGGAAAAACAGAGGCAATGTACTCTGGAATAATCCTTCTGTACACTGTGAATATGTATTACTCTCATTGGGCAATAAAAAGCTGACCGGCCCGTAGCCAGGCAGGAAGTATAGGTGGGGCAGCCAGACACAGAGAACATTGGGATGAAGAAGCACGAAGTCAGGGAAGACACCAGCCAGCCACTGAAGTAATAATCCATGAGCCATGTGGCAGAGCATAGATAAGAAATATGGGTTAATTTAATTGTAAGAGCTAACTGGAAACAAGCCTGAGCTATTGGCTGGGCATTTATACATAAAGCCTCTGAGTGACTATTTGGGAATTGGCAGGTGGGAGAGAAATGTCTGACTACATAAAGCAGAGGCAATGGTCTAGAAAAATTAAATACTGAAGAATATTGTTTTCCCAGATTAAAAAAAAATGATTATATTTCATCATGAATGGAGCAGTCATAAAATCACTTCATAAGTTTTATAAGTGAGTAGTAGTATCTTCATAAGGGTATACTCTTAAGAGAATATGGGATGTGGTGTTACCTGGGAACAGCATGACTTCATGTGGGGTAGCCATGATGGTGTTTCTGTGGTTCAGGCTAGTAATGAAATTTGAAGTGAAGAGGAATAAGTGGTTTTAGTGATGTGGATGTGGTCTTTAATGAGTCTGAGGACTATGGAAACAATGAACTTCAGACCTTGAGTAGATGGAGGGCAATGATGTAAAGAAGGAGAATTTGACATGGTTTTCAAAATTTTTTCTTATATGTGAGCTAGAGTTTTAGCTTGTACAAGAATGGATATCTGATGTTTGAAGCATGAGGCATTTGAACATTTAAATGTTGTGGTCTAACAGGCTAGGTAATCCTTTTATGTGAGAGTCTGTGGAAATCAATGGTGAAGTTTCTGCTTTAGGGTCACCAGAAAATGTTATAGCAAAAACAATATAAAATATATCTAGGGAAGCTAGTATGTTTGAGAAAGTATCTGCTTAGAGAAGAGACATATGGGCAATACCTAGAATTTATGGATGGAGTTAACAGTATGGAGACATTATAAGAACAAGAGAATAGACAGTAAAGTAGATTGGATGGTCTTTGGAGAGAACAGTTATTATGGAATGTAGTAACCAGGCACTGGTATAAGTAGTATTAGACATGCCAGAAGCATCACTGGTCAGGCTGCCATTGTTGAGAGAACATTGATGTTTGAAAACACTTAAAAAGAGACACTCTTAAATAATGGCTTTCTTCTTTTCAAGAATGAGTTATGAACACTTAAATCATACACTATTGCAAGAGGGATTTCTTGATGATACTCAAGTTTTATCCTCTTCTTCTGAGATGACTATTCGAGGTGCAAAAGATTTCAAGATTTATTCCCAAGGTTGTACAGTTGACTGTCAAGAGTATCAAGACTAATATTCCATTGCATTTGACATACTCTGTCTCTATAACCTTTAATGATTACCATCTAAACAGAAGCTATATTCTTTGTTTCCTTTCTACACCACATACAAACTCTGTCAATCAAGCCCTCTGTTTCTGTGACTCCTCTACTCACATGAGCTATCGTTTCTTTAGACTACCCTCACTTTTCTCCCCAGCCTAGACTGTAAATGCCAGTCATTTCTTTCTTATCATGCAACAATTGCCATCACCTTTGGTCTTTGACTTTTATGCGATGCAACCTTGAACCTATTATGTCAACATCAATCCCAGGATGACTTATTTCATTCTCCATATATTTCATAATGAGTGTAATTCTGAATTTTACCATCTGACCCATTCTTGAGACCTAGTTCTGGGAAGAACAATTTTCCTGTTTTTGGCTAATACTTGTAAAGCTTTCCCTAACTTTGAGTAGTATATCTAACCTGCTACTTCACAGAGATAGTGACACTCAGGCAGGAGTAAAATGTCTATTCTTATTTCCTACCAGCAAGTCTATAATTGCAGCAGCTTACACCATCTTCCTTAAGTTTTGTTCCCTTCTTTGTTCTGTTGTCAATCCATCTTACTCTCTCCCACTGCTTCATCCACCTTGTTTAGCATTCATTACATTTTCTCTTGTGTATATAAATACCTTACACTCTACCAGGCTGTTCTTTTTTCTTTTCTTTTTTTCCCTGAAAACAA